TGAAGAGGGAGGGGAGGGGAGGGGGCTGAGAAGAAATGGGCTGTTCGGGTGGGACACTTGCATGCATGCATTTGCCGAGGTGACCAGTAGGAGGTGCAGTCACTCAGCTGAACAAGAGCTGAGAGTGCTCCTGCAGGTTTCCTCGCCCCTGAGGGTCGGGGAACATCTGCGGGTCCCAGGTAGGCCACCTTCAGACAGGCTTACAAAGGAGGCTGACACACACACACCCTCCTTCAGGGGGCAGAGGTCAGGTGTCCTGGCTGTCGCTTTGCCCCGTGCAGTTTTTAGCAGTGACTGTAAACTGCTCCTGGCAGCTCCCTTCATGTTACTGGGAGTTAGAATCAACTACCCCCCCTGTGTGGGCCCAGGCTGTTTTGTAGCCCCTCTCCCTGGGCCGGGAGCCCTGAGGACTGCGGTTCAACTTCCTCATTTGCTCCCAGACGCTGCATTCTGGGCTGGGAAGGCACAGCCCAGCCACTGGCCACACTTCCTGCTGCCTGGGCTTGCACACAACTTTCCCCCTGGGGTGCCCCACCCTGCCTGCTGCCTCCCTTGCCCCCTGTGCCCTCCAGTGTTTGTGCCCAGCCCCTCACTGCAATGAGTGGGGGAGTCTGTCCTGGTATAGAGAGACCTGTCCAGGGGAAGCCCTCTCCAGACCTTGTTGAGGGACAGAGGTGGGTTTCTCTGCAGCTGTTCACCTGGGTGGCTGAAGGTGAACTTGGAACAGGTTAAAATAAGCAATCTGCCCAGAGGTGCGCCTCGAGCAAAACCAAACGCACTGCCCTCAAATCGATGCTGACTAGAACTAACTGCCCCTGCGTGCTTCCCAGACTGCAGCTCTTGGCAGAAGCAGAAAGCCCCTTCTCCCGAGGAGCTGGTGGTTTTGAACTGCTGACCTTGCAGTTAGCCCAATGCATAACCACTACACCACCAGGAGCCCTTGCAAAGCAGCGAGTGCTCCCTGGCATTAAAACACTTGTGCTAGAGTCCACAGCCCAGGATAAGGCGTGGGCATCTGCTTCTGCAGCATCTCTGCGTCCTTCCAGGACCCCCTAGGGGGCGGTGTCCTGAGTAGTGAGCTGGTTTCACAGGCCAGATTCTGAAGTGGCCTTGCCCTCAACCCATTCCACTATACCACCTGCCTTGCCATCTGGCACCCCAGGGATTCGTTGAAGCCCAAAGTCCCCACCCTTAAGATACGTTGACAACAGAGAGGCAACCCCCTAGAGGGCCGTCTGCTGCCCAAGAGGAACTGGGGGAGCTGTGGTAACGGGACACAAGTAAGTAAGGATCTCCCCCACGTGAGCCTGGCCTCCCGCAGGTGAAGAGCTGGCCTCCACACCCCCCATCTTCCTTCCTACCTACCTAACACCCCTCTCCACGCCCCGGCACCCAGGGCACACTCAACTGGCAGCCACACTCAGCTTCCTGCCCTCGCTGGGCTGGGCGGGGCCAACCTACCCGCCCTCTGATAGGCAAAGTCAAGGGCGGCCCCCAAGGAGGCTGCAGAGAGAGCGACTGGACAGGAGGAGGAAGCACTGGGGCCTGCAGGTGTCTGAAGCCCAGCGGCAGGCACCCCGAGCGACCATCACCTGCAGCCCCGAGCCCGTGCAAACAAGGTAAGTGAGGGCCAGCCTGCTCCTATCCCTCTGCCCAGAGCGCCTCTCCTAGCTGCAGCCTGAACTTTGAACTGCTGGAGAGAACCTGCTGCTGCTGGGGACGCTGGGGTCTGAGGTGTGAGCCACCCCAGGTCCATAGCCCTTCCTAGGGTGGGCGGTTGCCTACATGAACTGGGTGAGCGGATGCGGCCATGCCCACTCCGAGCCAGGGCTTCCTCTTCGCATCTGGGAGGTGGGAGTGGGTCGGACACGCTGTCTGAGGATCCTTCCACCTCAACCACCACCTTGGTGAGCGGGGACCGTGCGACTTCCAGTTGACCTGCAGGTGCCACTCCACTCCCCAGCTGTCCAGGGGCTTCAGCTTAAATAGGCAGCAGCACCCCCTGTCCCAGCTGCTGGCCCACCTCTGCCCCTGCCCACCCTTCCCCTGCAGAAGCCGCCCAGCCATGGCGGGAATGAAGACGGCCTTCGGGGACTACATCGACTCGTCCTGGGAGCTGCGGGTGTTTGTGGGCGAGGAGGCCACGGAGAACGAGTCGGTCACCCTCCGGGTCACGGGGGAGTCGCACATTGGCGGGGTGCTCCTGAAGATCGTGGAGGAGATCAGTAAGTGCCCCGTTTGTCCTTCTGTTTGCCGGCACCCATAGGGTGGCTGTCGCCAGCATCCCGGGTACTTCCGGGCCGCCCCTGCTGCGCCACTCTCGATAACGGCGCCCGTGACTCAGGCACCAGCTTAATCTTCTGCTTCCCAAAAAGACATTTCCCCAACTTCCGCCCCCTGGTGCTGCCTTCTTGCCCTGCCTCCCACTAAGGCCCCAAGGAGGGGACCCCCCTCTCTACTCATTCCCAGGCAGGGTGAGGGGAGGTGAGGCCTTGCCTGGACCCAGGCGGAAGCCACAGCCCTGGCGTCTGCGGGGATGCCAGAGGGGGTTCCCGGGGGCCTGGCCCCACACTTCATGTCCCCAGCAGAAGGCCTGGGTGAAGGCCCAGCCTGGGAGGGAAGGCCCTGCCCCCACAGGAAATTACAGCAGAGCAGCCTGTGGTGTGGGCATGGAGGCGCAGGCCGGTGCCGCCGGGACTGCTTGTGGTCTCCTCGCCCCTGCTGGGGTGGGGGCTGCCCTTCCTGGGTGGGCAGCGGGCCCTTTTCCGATAGCCACAACTGGAAAGCAGGCCACAGATAGTCCCAGCCCCAGGCCTGGGGGGTGGGGGGGAGGGG